TTTTGGGACCAAATCCTGTCGTTTCTATGTCTTTCCAAAGACGGGATTCAGGACCGTACTGGCGTTTTGAATGCTTATTTGGCCTATACAATGATTTGTGGTGATCAGCCCAGCATAAAGACGTACGAGTCACTGCTTTTTCCTCCCGTCTACAACCGATTGACCTACAATGGAAAGATGGGAGGCTCGTTTGACTTGGACGAGCATCGGTCCGAGATTCGATCTCCGGACCATGCTTGTGTGAAATTTTTTCTTTCAAACAAGAATTTTTTCTTTTCTTTTAGTCCACCACTGTCTCATAATCTTTTCTATCGAGTCATTTAGTCTGTGATATCGAGCTGTAAACTTCCCTCTGACACCTACATTCACCTTTATTCGCTACAAGTCGAACTTTTCAAAAATGTACCTATTACTCAGCAAGCTTTCAACTTGTACTTACGTATAAAGGAAGAAGGATGAAGTTCTTGGCGTTAATCACCGGAGGGATGGAAGGCTTGGTTGGCCTAGGCGGGCATCGGTCCTGGATTCGAACCCGTGACCGTGCGTGTGAGATAGTGCGCCACTTGCCACTATACCACTGCACTTAAGTATAATAGAATATATTTCCGTTGAGTATCACAACTAATCGATCTGAGATGAACACATCATATGCAAGCATGCTGAGAGTGCAACCGAGAGATTCGACTTTGAATTGGTCGATTGGTACCCGTTTGAGTTTACCCGTGAATCCCTTCGAATGTCCTCCGCTCACATATTGCAAAGCTCTATTTTCTCAGTACAGTTTTTAAGGAAAACTTTATTAAGTCGTTTTTCATATAACGCATCTCACACACCGACCCTGGCCTAGTGCCCCAGGCAATTCTGCTCTTATTTGCACTCTTATAAGAAGAGAAATAATGCACGCAGGCTGCAGTAGAATCTACGCTAATTCTGCTGTTCTTCGATTCCTAATGCTGGCCACGATTCTCCTCTCACAACAGTCAATAACTTAAAGAACGTTGTGCTGTTACTGTGGGCGCTCGTGAACACCACTTTCAAACCTCATAGTCATTCCCTCCATGGTTTGACCGAAGAACATATCAAGGTTAACTGCACGCGAAACAAAGGCAGAGAACTCGAAGGGCGCTCTTTGAACCACTGCTCACTGAGGTTGGACGAGGTTTTGCCGACAAAGGATGTGGTTCGGCGAGATTTCTGTCACAGCAAAGCGGCACTTGTTAGCCAATAGTGCATATCATTTGATTGCATGTTTAGCAAAGCTTCAATTCGAACTATGCCAGCCTTCACAAAGCAGATGACCATGTCGTTACTTGGGAAAGTTGAGGGCACTGCGTGCTCTACGGGTTCCTTTACTGTGCCCTATACGGCCCGTTTTTTCCATCCACGGGACCACTACGTGGCTTTCTCAGGAGCCACAGTATTCTTTAATAGAATACTCTGAGCCAACAGAATGTGCATTTGAAATGAGGGTACCATTTTCCAAAAAGTACCACCCAAAACTAAGCATTATAATCATCAGACATTCTTTGACGGTATCAGACGACGAAGGGTATTTTATCATGTCCCCCGGTGGTGAACATTGTTTACTCCCCTGGTCGCTTTCCGAATTGCCTTGATTCAGAGGAATTCGAAAAACAAGAGTAACGAAATTCGGCGAGACCCCCGGTGTCTTGCTGAATCTCGTTACTTTCGTTCTATGTAAACACGTCACAGGACATCCATTTTGAAAACGAAATCCACTGCCGAAAGAAAAACGATGCCGCTGTATCGAATTATTGAAACAAATGAAATACCCGCATGTTTAGTTTGAGTTTTGACCGATACCAGGCACGATGAGCTCGAGTTGAACCATTACTCTTCATAAACCCTAACAGAGCATTACGAAAAGGAGAAGACTATTCTAACATATTTGTACAAAAAACGGATCCAGGAAACGGGGCAAGAGATTGTTTACTCAAGAAGGCTCTAGGTCAGTTGACCATGGCTTCTCGCTTATCTTCGCAATCGCTAGCCGTTGGTGGATGAGTTAGGAGGAGACAAGTAACTTTGCATCCCTTAGTTTCCTTCTGCCGGAATCACGGTCGGCACGGGACGTGGATATAGTGGAGTGAGCTGAGAAGAATAAATTTTTCTCTCATATTGACAATTACGAGGTGCATACTTCACGTCTCGACCGACAATATGTCATAACTACAGCTTCCTTAGCCTCCATATCAGGCCAGGAGCTTTCAACGTACTAATGACATCTTGGCCCATTTTGGGTGAAGAGACGAATTAGTTAGGACAAGGCGACAAAGGAAAACTCTTATTAACAGCTATCATAGATAGCTCCCCACCTCTAAAGGTTTCTCCATCCGAGAACGACGACATAGTAACAACGTTCCATCCCTGTGAGCTGGACTGTTCCGGTTACATATGTCATGAATTGAACGGCATGGGTAGGTGAAGGGCATCTCGAAAATAACGATTTTTAAGTTGCTACTACATGACTCTTCTGGCTCAATGGCTCTTTCAAATGAGCAACACCTAGTCGGTGGTACGGAAATTGAATTCCATCAATAAAAAATGTCCAGTGTCCGGAATTTGTTGGTCCTCCTTGATTCTGGCTAAGGCTCACTCAGTTGCAACAACCTCCATACATCATTTGCCATCTGTTGGCGTGATAATAGGTCGTTGAAACTTTGAGTTCAGTGTAGAATGCTCGAATTAGCTCTAAAGGGGATCTTTCATAGCGCCTTTCTGCGTTCGTCGGACTAAGATCCCTTGGAAGGCTATTCACGCTAGCATCACTTTATTTGTTTACACACGCACACTTTTTGTTCAACTAGCAATTAGTCTTTGTTTTCACTGAAAATTGGGATGCATCAATGAGTAGCATGAATAAAACAAACATCTCAGCCCATTCCTCATTTTCTAAGCTCAGTGCTTACTAATGAAAACAGCATCTCTCCTCCACAGAAATACTTAGATCAACAAAAGGAATACAGGCCATTTATGACTAGAAAGGCTTTTTTACTCTTGATAATTGTTCCCGGATCCCCTTCTACTAAACTCCTTTTCTTTATTCCGAAGTTTCATTTCCTTAAGTTCTTTAGGGTTTCTTCACCAGAAATCTACTATGCTGTAGGTGCCAGAATAGATTCCCTATGAAAGACTCGCACTGGGAGCGCTGAACTAATGTTGTTTTAGAGACAGCGCTTTGAAGAAACAAAACACAAAAAAGAAGTAATCACAAAATTCTTTTTCAGACGGAGTGCACTAAGTTCTAATAAATTTTAAGATCTTTCATGGATATGAAAAAGAACGAGTTCTACTCCGAGAAGCCATGCATATCTCACATCATCGGGGTTATTCTTAGTTGAAAATCTGATAAGTACTCCAATTCATCAACTCTATGCACCTATGAATGGACTGAATAAAAGAGAAAAAGTAATGGATCGAAACAAAGGAGAAAAAAGTGGTCTGCCGATAGCTTTTCTCCGGGGACTGGCCGAGAATCGTAGAGGTTTTCAGCTAGTTATTCGAATCATAAAATCGAAAGGCCAGAAAGATCCTATCCTACGTTGTCTACAAAGGGGATGTAATGAGAGACCTGTCACTAGTATCCATTATGACAGTCCATAGACAGAATTATCAATAGAGGCCCTTCTAGATGAGCTTGACATGTCCTTCCTACCCTCAGTTGGAGAAATGAAACGAGAAGGAAAGCTCATTTCTCAAAAAAAAACTGCTAAAATGGCAATGGAAACTTACGCATTTCATCGATGAGTGCCTGCATTTCACCGGAGCAGTCGGGCGCCGCAGAGCCGGATATCTCAGGCTGAACGTCGCCGTTCGACCACATCTGCAAACCCGGCTATAATGATAGATTGGGATCATATTAATGCCATCACATACGAAAGAGCTTATGAAACTCCAGCAAGCGAAAACAAGAAAAAAATCACCCGGATGGATTACTGTAATTCAATGTTTGCCACGAAAATGCTGACGGGATAGTGTTGGGGCAATGAAAGCATGTACCTTGGAAAGGAAGAGCCTCGTCGATTCGGGGAACAGGGGAATTCGGAGAAACACTATAGGCTATTCTAACGGAAAAAGAAGCCAAAAGAGTTAGGTAAACAATGAAAATAGGAAGGATATCAGAAAAAGGGAGGAAGCTGCACTTTACAGGGCAGCGCTCTAAGAACAGAAATTTCGACTATCAAAAAAAAACGATTGAAGTAGAGCGAAGAAAAATCAGTACCAACTTAACTAATTTTCAGTAGCTAGTCCGAAAACCCGCTGCTGGTCCCCTCTGAACTTCGAATGCTCAGAAATAGTCGAGAAAGGTGTGAGTTTTGAAGCCAAAACCGAGAAAATAACAGAGAACGTTCCGAGCAATCAATTCTGACGGCTCACACTTTCCATGCACATTTTCTGCACCCATCAATCTTTCCCAACTTGGCTAAATATGGTCGAATAACTTTGAAAACGACTTGACATATGGCTTTGGCCTTATAAAGTCGAATAAGAGGCATATGGGATAGGATATGGTCTAATCGAGAGAGAATAAGTCGGATTTCGACTTTTATCTTGGAAAACCGAAATCTGCGGACAACATCCACAACATGAGCAATTTCCCATTGGCATCGTGTGGTTACACTGCAATACTACGTATGGGACTCATCGTCACCATTTCCTGCAGAAGTACCTACTGCTGTAATGGTTGCCTAACGTTCATTGGCTCCCCTTTTTCTCCATTTTCAATTTCCGTAAATTCTGAGCCGGAAAATAATCCCTCTTCGTTCAACTGTGAAGCAAAGTTCTTCCCTTTCCAGTACGGATTGCAGGGAGTCCCTGCAAAGACGCTAAAATTTCTTTCTCTTCCTAAGGAGAAAGCCTGGGCCGATTCGACCCTTACATAATCAAACCACTCTACNCATGCACCGCCCCCGTGGGAGGAGAAAGGTAAACTGCACTCGGTCATTGACTTGATACATATAAATATTGTTAATTCTAGGAATCACTAACTCCAAGGCAAGTTCTTATAGTACCATTTCATTGCTTTTTCACCCACTGCCTTACAGAAGGAGGTAATTCAAGTGAGTTCAGCAATGTAACCAGAAAACAGAAACGGAAACTTTCGTGTTCCTGCCAAAAGGTGAACAAGAAACAAACTGAAGAGGCAAGGAAATCATGAAGAGTTCACCAACTACCAGACAAGCTGTACTGACGTGAGTATCACAGAAAGGAGGAGAAATTAATAAATAACAGAAAGTGTGTGGCTGACTCATCTAGAGCCTTCCCTACATTCGACTTCTGCCTTCATGCATGAGATATCTGGTTGCATATTTCGTTTAGTTGAAGCTGAGAGCCAGTGCTGTTCGTTTTCTGGCAATTTCCTGAGCGATTATGCGACCTGGAGGGGATGGTTGGATTGTTTTTCCTAGGCAGGCCCCCAGAACAACAACACTTCTGATCATTACGCTAGCACCACACGAAATACTATCTGATAATAGGCAGTAACTAATGGTATTTCCAGTAGCATTAGGTAATGAGACCAGGACGCATTCAACTAAGGGCTGCTTCTTTGCAAATTTTCAGCTCAAGCAATAGCAGGAAACAGTGTGCGCCACTGTGTCTCGAAACACTTGAAGTACTCCAGTGAAGGAGTCCGACTGATGACCAAATTCCGTCTCAAGCAGCAGTGGGTAATACTCATGCTACAGTGCCAACAACCCCGGGGGCGAATTTATGCTCTTGGCACAGGGAATGTCCCTTTGAGGAGCGCCTACCCACCCAACTACCTGCAGTCTTAAGCCAGGGCGAATGCGGGAAGAGCAACTTGATGTTATTGGGCCTTTGTTTAGGTGTACTACCCATGTCGTATAAATTCTGAACCACTTTTTTTTGCTGCATTTTGTCCTCTCCTTTGGATTTCAAAACGTTTCTAACACTTTAGCCTCTACAGGATAATCTATTAATCGTATTCCTTCAGACAATCTTTTCTTGGCACTTTCGCTATTACTCTAAGGAGCGCCATTAGGATGGAAACGATGAACAAGCGCTACTTAGCCATAATGACCGTTGAAAACTACTGCACGGCAGTTATAACATACTATGTAGAGTATCACTTTTGATTTATGGTTATTGTCCAAAAGATAATGACAAAACGGTGCTTTACATCACGAACGTAAGCTACTCTGCACCCTTGCCTACCCAGTACAATGTATATGGGGTATGCTGGGTTTGTTTCCTAACGATAACACTCGCTACTTATCAGTCGCTGCTACTGCCTATTCTTCGTAAGCATCCCTCAGCCAAATCTTGAAAAAGGACCTCCTCTATTGCGCTACATACCCGCCCCAGAGGTCTGATAGTTTCACGGCTCAGTTTCCTAATATGCTTACAGTATGCTTTTCGAGATCTAGCCACACGATTTATGTGTATACATACATTCAATAGGCCGTATAACATATTACTCTCTATTCAATCAAACGACACTGCCAAAGTGTCTTTTCGGGCTAAGTTTGTGATTTCCTGAGTGCCCGACTGAGGAAATTGGAGGCTAGAGATAAAGGCTTTAATCAAGTGTCAATCCAAATATCTAAGCATTAATCAGTCCTGTTCCAGGGATGCGTCCCCACATTCCACTTTCATTCGTAGTGGGGTTGAATATGTGGTGGGAGGGGGGTTGCCTATGTGCCCTGTACAATGGATTGCGGTGGGAAGCCGATGTACAGTTTAGAACTAGGAATCTCCCAGCCGAGCCCAGTATCAATTCACTGAACCCCGAGAGGATCGACTGACCCGAGTTCATGACACTACAAGACTTGACCCTCGACCATTCGTGTGGTCCTATGCACCACTTGCCACTACACCCCACCGCGCTTCCGAAGAATTAATAAAAATAAGATAAATCGTTGCGAAAAGATCAGGGAACCCGAATCTTTCTGAAATTTTAGCGATTACTGGCTACCATATGAAGTGATCTAGCAAAAATGAAGAAGATTCGTGGCCTGTGGTTTGCAGGGCCATCCGATGCACAAGTCGGTACTTTCATTCTCTCAGACAATCAAGTACTCTGGATGGATGACATGTTTGGTTGGTCTAGATCTGAGATTCGATCCCCTGGGCCGTGCGCGAGATAGCCAACCAACTGGCATTTGCAGGCAAATTGCTAATTACCATCACATGAAGATCTATTGAAGCATGCAGACCTCAGATGCTAAGTGCAAGTGTTTGGCTAATGCCCCTCCATTTGTGTCTCCTGAACCTCTCCTAAGTCTACGATGGATGATTGGCGAAAACTTAATCAAAAAATAAATGGACTGGAGGTAATCCTTCTTTGGAAATTCAGGTGTTCACGAGAAGATAGACTCAGAAAGTCCAAAGAAGCAGAATGCACCATACCTAAACTCTTTTCAGTAAGGTTCATTTCCGTCAATTCTATACAGCTCGTTCCATATTAGGGTCAATATCGATTAGTTCAAGGGCAACAGATGCGAAGTTTTTACCTCACCACCGTACTCTGCATGTATTGCGGTCCCCTGGATGTACCGTAATCCTCATCATTTGGATTTTCTTATTTAATCACTGGGTGCATATGACATAACTTCCAAAACGACCGTTTCCCCACTCCTTCGAGCATCATCGAGCTTTGTGCAACAGTTCAGTTATATTGAGCCATATCCCTCGAAACATGTGCACTACCAAAGGTAGCAGATGTCTAGAATGAAATTTCAACTTCTAAAAGTCGAATTGCAAGTTTTGAGGGAGCACTACGACTGAAAATTCGAGCAAATCGAAAGTAGAAGTTTAGCCTCAAAGCCTCGATGGACTTCAAACTGAGATGAAAGTTAAAAGTTTTTGGCTCGATCAATTTCTTTACGGGATGCACCCCGCGTTCGATGTCTATCCAGAATCGTAGTGTGTATGTATGTAGCCTAAACAATGCGGTGGCCAGCCGATGTATTAGTCAGATTTTTTGCCTTCCCAGACGAGTCTGATACCAATTAACCGACCCGGAAGGATGGAAGTTTGGTTGGCCTAATAGGATATCGAATATCCAGGATTCGAACCCTGGAACATGCGTGTGTGATAGTGCGCCACTTGCCACTACACCACCTCCGCCCTGAGCCTTGAGTGACGGAACTGCTACCCGATTTCCCACGTTCGTTTTGTTGCATGCGGTAGAACTTTTTTAGTTCTCCCGCGGCTTCAAACTGCAATTATCGTACTCTGCCCGCCTCTGCCAGTCAATCGATAGGGCGCAGTATTTTTCGTTGACTGCATTCCTTTCCTGATTAGTCTTGCCTGTTTTTTCTGTTTCTTCTTCGTTTTTATATTTGTTAGACTTGATTAATTAGAATGACTTCTCCTATATTAACGACGATCAAGACCACATTGGAACTGAAGGAAGCGTACAGCAAATTCAAGTAATTAAAGGACTCCCGAACTCACAAAATGCGCGCTCCAGTCCTCCATCGCATTTTTGCGATACACGGTGGGTGCCGCGAGCCCGACGCAACGTTCGGGGAGAAGATACCGGACCCCTAAGACTCCAAATACTCCGCGCATTGAGGAAGTCCAGGAGTTAGAGTGGTACTAGGACGAACAAGTGCTGCACCAAGAGATATAGCACTCTGAGTATAGTACATATTACACATCATCTGCTCTGACAAATGGCATACTCGTTCGAGTAAATCATTTATATTACCCTATAGACTTACTCAAAGGTCTTACTCGAAACACATTGGGTTCTTTTTATGAGAAAGATTTGTGAAGACGTATTTCTGTCTGAAGTCTCATCAACACGCTAGGTGTTAAATAGCGTCTAATAGGTAGGATTGGTATGCTGTTGTA